GGTATCTGTCCAGACCAGTGCTCACAGGCCCACTTGGCAGCTGGTAACTGAGTTGCTGTGTGGTTGGGGATAGGGGAAGGGCAGAGACAGGACTGGAGCAGGCTAGGGACTGGGACCTGTGCAGGTAGGGCAGGACAGGCACACAGGAGGGAAGAGCAGGCCCAGGGCCATGTGAGAGGAATGAATTGGCTCCCTTTGAGGCTCTGCTCATCCTCACAGTGCCTGCAGCATCCTCTCCTCCAGATTGGGCTCTGGGCTGGGAGGCAACTGACGGCCACTAGGAAGTTAGGCTGTAAAGTAAGTGAGCAGGTGAGCAAGGGGAGCTGGAGAGCTAGGGGCCCCAGAGTTACCTGGGAAGGGGCTTCAGGAGTCAGAGCTTCCAGAACTGAGGCCTCCAAAGGTTCCTGAGGTCATGGGGTCAAGCTTGCTGCCCTGAGAGTGTGTGTGTGCATGTATATGTCCCTGGGTGTCTGAGAGGCTGGGCCTGCGTCTGCCTATTTTCACAGGCATCTCTGCTGTTGTAGTCAAGGTTTGCAAATTAATAGATTTAATACAGGACACATAATTTATAGGATTATTTTAGGAAAGTCACCCAAAAAAGTCAAATACAGAAGAGTACAAGAGATCTATCGTAGTGCTAGAGACCCGAAGAATTCAGCCAAGGGCCTGGTTTCCATGGCAGTGTCTTGCACAAGTCCAGTTGAAGGCCCAGAGTCCATGGCAATGTCCTATGCAAGTCTGTATCAAGGATCTGCATCAAGAAGGCACAAAGGCCAGTGGTGGAAGCTAGAAAGTCTGTGCCAGTGGGGTGAAGGATTTGTGCCACCAGGCTGAGTGGTCTACCCTGGAGCCAGGAAGCAATGCTCAAGGCGAAGACTGGAGCACCCCTGACAAGAACAGAAACTATTCCTAGTGACAGGACATGAGCTCCTCTGATGATGAGAACAGCTATTTCATATAAGGAAAACCAGCCACAGCAAGCTTCTCTAGGAAAATCAACAGCATATGGTCCTCCCCTGCAGTTCTCCTTTTGTGCCATTGGCAACAGTCCTCAGGTGGGTCTTCCATGCCCAGAACCACACTGACTCAATTCAGCTGGGCATTCCAAGTTGACCATTAGCTAATCCACTACACCTGCTCTCTCTTATTTCTGCCCATGAACCATCATAAACTTGTCATGGGTTTTTGTGTGTGTGAGCAGCGTGTGAATCCCTGAATGTGTACCTGCATCTCTGTGTTCAACCTTCTCCTGTCTGGATGTCTCTGTGTATGTTTGTAGGAATGCATCTCCTGAGTACCCATGTGTCCTTGAATCTTAGCTGCAGTGGAGGCACAGAGACAAGTCCTGGGGGACAGCTTGGGATGCTGAGTGCTGGGGCATCTGCCTGCTCCAGCCTCTTCTGACTCTACAGGTATCCTAGCAACATTGTAGCCAGTTGCCTAGCAACCAGGTCCCCATCCTTGCAGAAGGAGCAGGGTCTGGCTGGTGGGGGGAGGTCTGGCTCTCTGTCACAGCCTCTGTAAGAGGAACAACACCATGACCAGGTGGGGTCTGGAACTCAATGTAGGGGCCACCCACATGGCCTTAACCTGTGATCTTTTATCTCAGTGGTCTGCATGTGTACCCTCTGTGCTGGCAAAGAGGCAGGTTCACCTGAAATAGCCTTTTATTGGTGTATATGCCAGGGCCCATGCTGGGACCACTCCTTATAGAGGTGCCCTTGGTGTAGCTCTCCCCCATCTCTTTTGACAGGTGGATTCATCTCTCTGAGGCTTTGTGCTCATAATAGGCACAAGTAGCACAAAGTAGTAGTGCTGGGTCCTGGGCCCAGGTACTCTCCTGCTTATTTACAATGAGGCTGTGACCTTGAGAGCTGCCTTGGCCAAGGCACTGTCATCTGTCCACCTGCTGTGGCTTGACTACTGCAGGGGCCTGGCTAAGGGGTTCAGTTGAGGACAGGGAAGTTCAACCAAGGCTGGACTGGTACAGATTCTCCAAAGCTGTGTCTGTGTATACTGGGGTTCCACATCTGCCTGAGTATGCACTTCTCTGTGTGCCTCTCCCCAAGTCTTGTCCCAGTGTCTGAGTCTGTGACTGTGTGTGTGTGTGTGTGTGTGTGTGTGTGTGTGTGTGTGTCTGAATTCCTGTCTGTGTCTCCAATTCTGTGTTTGTGGCCCTGTGGACATCTCTGTCCTGTGTCCCAGCCCAAGCATGTCTTTGTTTGGGCTGCTTGGGTACATATTTTAACCCGTGCCCTGATTTTCTGTGTTCCAACCCGTGTGGGGCCCAGGTGGCCCAGGCTGGGTGGTCCTCCCTCCGGAGCCCCTCCTCCAGCCTGCACAGCCCCTCCTGCTCTGGAGCTGTAGCCTCCTCCCCCGCCCCCAGCTCTTGGCTGCCGCACTCGCTGCTGCATCTGGTCTGGCGTCAGCTGAGAAGGAGCTGCCGCCACAGCTCTATCTCGACCTGCACTGGGACCGCCAGTCCCTTGCCACAGCTGCCCCTCTGCTCTCTCTGCTGAGGGTTAGGGTCTCCTCAGTCCCGCTTCCCAAGGACATTTTGGAGGTGAGGGTCTATGTTGCAGGCGGTAAGGGGGGCCTGCTGTCGCTGCGGGTGTGGCTGGGCTGCTCAGCAGGGCTGCGAGAGGCAGGAGAAAGCTATGCCCAGCCATTTATGCCACAGGCATTTCTGGTCTTATCTTAGGCTCTCTTGTGTATGGATGTGCATGAGGGTGTTTTGGACATTTTTGTATTGGCATGTGTACATCCCTGATTCTGGGAAACCCAGTAGCTACGTGTCCCTGAGTCTCAGGGGGTGGATATATGTCCTTTTGTAACCATGTCCACATAGCCCGTGTGTGTCTGTAGATGTGACGTGAGGTGTCCAGCTGGGTGTCTATGTCCCATGCATCCCTGTGAGTGTACCTGTTCTCCTGTTTGTTTGTGTCTCTGGATGTGTATATGTGCACCGGTGTCTTTCTGTGAGTGCTTGAGTGTCTGCAGGTGCCCATGGTGGTGGTGGGGTCCCGGTACCTGCTGGGCTGCACATGCCATGCTCTGAGGACTCAGCAGGCGTGGTCCAGTGGTCACTTGTCTCTGTGCCCTGTCTCAGGTTCTGTACTGAGTGGCTTTGCAGGGTTACAGCATGGAGTCTCTCTTCCCCGCCCCATTCTGGGAAGTCCTCTATGGCAGCCACCTTCAGGGCAACATGTCCCTTCTGAGCCCCAACCACAGCGTGCCACCCCATCTGCTGCCCAATGCCAGCCACAGTGCCTTCCTGCCTCTCGGGCTCAAGGTCACCATCGTGGGGCTTTACCTGGCCGTGTGCGTCGGGGGGCTGCTGGGAAACTGCCTCGTCATGTACGTCATCCTCAGGTAGGCTGAACCCACCGAGGTCCCTGTCTACTGAGTCCCATGTAGCTGTGTAGGGGGATCTGAGGCAGGGGGAGTTGGATTTGAACAAGTGGAGATTTCCTGCTTCCCCTATTAAATTCCTTTCCCTGTCCGGGGGGCAGGGTCAATTCTGAGGTCTGGGATGCTTCTCTGCTCTGCCCCCGTCTGTACTGGGCTGAAATATCACCACCTTGAGCCCTGTTTGAGCTGCAGCCAGGCTCCATGCCAGTTGACAGTGTGAACAGCCTCATGGGATCCCACAGTAGCCCCAAGGAGATTGCTCTTGTGATCCTTTTCCTCAGATGGGCAAAAGGAGACACAGAGACTGACCGGTGGTAGGATGGACCTGAAGTCCCTTCTCTCTGGCTGCAGGGCTTCCTGTCTGTGGCAGTCAGCTGTGGCTGAGCCCTCGCTGGTGCTCAGAGAGAAAGCTGGTGCTGGGCACTTGGGGTGGTGGGGACAGGGTGGGGGGACTTGTGAAGCACCACGGGGATGACTGTGGAGTGTACCATGAGGGACGCTATGGGGTGCATTGCGGCAGACGATGTGGGGCAGCATGGAGTACAACGCTGGACTGGGCAAGGAGCTTAGCTGTGGGCAAAAGGGGAAGGGTTCCTGGGCCGAGGACGTGATGAAGCCTGTGTTCTTGCAGGAGGGAGGGAATGGAAGAGAAATGGGGACAGCAGTCAGGGTCCTGCTGCCAGACAGGGGAGGCTTAGTTCTCCAGACATTAGGGCGTCATGGGCAGCACTTGAACAGGACAATGACGTATCCAGGGTGAGATTTCTTCCTGATCCAGAAAGAGGTGATCTGGACAAGTGCTCAGGACTCTATAGCAGTGGTTCCTCCCTATGACCTTGCAGATCCCCTCAGAGGTGCTTCCCTCACCATCCTCGGGTGTCCCTGAGCAAACTCTGTTGCCCTATGGCCTTGTTTACCCCAGGAAAGTGAGGAGGATGCATCATACAGCTGCGTATGCATGTGTATGCGATGTGTGGTCAGACAAGGTGTAGGAAGAGCAGCTGTGCTCTGTAGCACTGCCATCCAGGGAGGGATCCTAGGGAGACTGCTCCCGGACCTGCACGTCCCTTCATGGCTGGAAGACGTGTCATGGGCCAGAAGTGCAGCAACCAGGCCAGCCGTGTCCTGTGATCATCCCTTCTATGACAAGAGCTTCTCTCCTGTGTCTCTCTTCTACTCTGGGGCATTGAAACTCTCACAGCTACTACCTGGACTGGGGCAGATGAGAAAGGCCATCTTGTCCACCAGTGTACCCAGAGAGTGATGCTCAGAAACAGCTGTGGCCATGCTGGCTCAAGAGGCAGCACACAGTATATACTGAGCCAGTGGACTTTTGTGGCTTCCCGGAATCAGAAATACCTGGTTCTGAGCTCCGGTTTCTTTTTACCAACTCTAAGGCTACTTAGACTGGATGGAGTGGCACCTGTCTGTAATCTCAGTGCTTGGAAGGCTGAGGCAGGAGGATTACAGTAAGTTTGAGGTCAGCCTGGGCTACATAGGTGAGTTCAAGGCCAGGCTGAACTACATAGCAAGACCCTGTCTCCAAAAAAGCCTAAAAGATAGATTTTCTGAGCCTCAGTTTCCTCCTTCATAGAGTGAGGGTCAATATAGCATTTTTATGAATCTCAAACAAGATAAAATCTATGTGAAGAGATCAGTATAACCTGCCATTGTCATTGTCATTATTGTTACTTAGTTGTAGTTAAGGCTTTGGTCTTATTCTTAATCTTTCTCTAAGGGATAGAACGAAACCACAAATACCTTTATGGGATGTGTGATAATTTTTTTGCGGTACTGGGGATCAAACTCGGGCCTTTGTGCTTATGAGGCAGGTGGCGCAACCACTGAGCCAAATCCCCGGCCCCCAAATGCCTTTATGGTAACTAAGCTGACGTGGAATATTGTCACTCTAGCACAACTATAATCCCAGCACTCAGTAGGCTGAGGCAGTATGACTGTGAGTTCAAGGCCAGCTGGGACTACATGCATAACAAGATCCTATTTCAAAAAATAAAATAAACAAACAATTGTCATCTCTGGTACTGTGGCTGCTGCCACTTTGTGGTGGTTATCCACATTGCCAGAATCATTACCTTCACTTTCATCACCACCACCGTCACTGCCACCATTACCGTCGTCAGCGCCATCACCACCACCACTCTCGTATCCCTCTTTCACCACTATTAAACCATTAATTCATTCAGTACATATTTTTTTTACCACTTGTAATTTTCTAGCCCTGTTCCAGGTGCCCGGAGTGCAGTCAGACCCTATTAGTTCCCCATCTGGCCCTAGGTCGCACTGTGGAGTGGGAAGGCCTATGATAAGCTTTTATAGACTTTGGGGCTCTTAGAAACCTCTGGCAGCCACAGGCCAGCAGGTGAGTCTGTGTGATGTCTTGAGGGAGACTTGAGGGGGAAGGCAGGTTCATTCTCTTGTGATTCCTACCCCTTTGTTCCTATGCAGTGAAGTGTATGCTCCGGTACCCTACATGGCCCAGCTTTTCCAAAGCAGACAAGTCTTTAAGTTTTGGAACTCTTTGTATGTGTGTGAGGATCACTTGATGAGCTTGTTAAAACTTTTGCCCCCAGGCTGCATCCGGGTTGACTTGCTGGGTGGGCCTTGGGCTGGGTCCAGGATGCTGCCGTTTGAAAAGCTCCCTTGGGGACACTGATGTTGAAGGACTCAGGGCTGGCATATTTTATGGTGGCCAACAAAATGAGCCTCTTGCCCTTCGCTGCCTTGTTCATTCAGATTGGACAAATGGAACCTTTCTTCTCTCTGTCCTTTCTGCAGGCACACCAAGATGAAGACAGCTACCAATATTTACATCTTTAATCTGGCTCTGGCAGATACCCTGGTCCTGCTCACACTGCCCTTCCAGGGCACAGACATCCTGCTGGGTTTCTGGCCATTTGGGAATGCCCTGTGCAAGACAGTCATTGCTATCGACTATTACAACATGTTCACCAGCACCTTCACACTGACTGCCATGAGTGTGGACCGCTATGTAGCCATCTGCCACCCGATCCGTGCTCTTGATGTCCGTACGTCCAGCAAAGCCCAGGCTGTCAATGTGGCCATCTGGGCCCTGGCCTCTGTGGTTGGTGTTCCCGTTGCCATCATGGGCTCAGCACAGGTGGAAGATGAAGGTCAGTGGGTTGGGCTTTCTCCTCCTACCAGGCTCCTATTGCTCCCAGTAGCTCCCTGACCCCATTTCTCTTTCTGCAGAGATCGAGTGTCTGGTGGAGATCCCAGCCCCCCAGGACTACTGGGGTCCTGTGTTTGCTGTCTGCATCTTCCTCTTCTCATTCATCATCCCTGTCCTTATCATCTCTGTATGCTATAGCCTCATGATCCGGCGGCTCCATGGTGTCCGCCTGCTCTCAGGCTCCCGAGAGAAGGACCGGAACCTTCGGCGCATCACGCGGCTCGTGCTGGTGGTGGTGGCTGTGTTTGTGGGCTGCTGGACACCTGTGCAGGTCTTTGTCCTGGTCCAAGGTCTGGGTGTTCAGCCGGGTAGTGAGACCACTGTGGCTATCTTGCGCTTCTGCACAGCCCTGGGCTATGTCAACAGCTGTCTCAACCCCATCTTGTATGCCTTCCTGGATGAGAACTTTAAGGCCTGCTTCAGAAAGTTCTGTTGCACATCTGCTCTGCACCAGGAGATGCAGGTGTCTGACCGTGTGCGCAGCATTGCCAAGGATGTGGCCCTTGGCTGCAAGACTTCTGAGACAGTACCACGGCCCGCATGACTAGGCGTGGACCTGCCCATGGTGCCTGTCAGCCCTCAAAGCCCGTCTACACCGAACACGGAGCTCACGCAGGTCACTGCTCTTTAGACTGACCCCTGAGCCTGAGCTTCTGAAGTCTTGAGTGGCTTTCCCTTTGGCCCAGGGATGCTCGGTCCTAGAGGAGGACCTAGTGAATCATGGGACAGGTCAAAGAATTAGGGCTGCTTGAGTGTCCTCTGTTGGACTAAAGCTGCCCTCATGGCTCAGGGCCAGAGGACACAAAGACACTGCCTGGATGGACAACTCTGGATGCATCTGCCTGGGGACTGCATTCAAACTGCTCCATACCATTTCCCCACTCTCTGGCTCAGCCAGCTGAGCTCTGTGCTCAGTGGCTCCTGCCAGCGGTGTGACAGTGGCCCTAGGGCTGTGTGTACACTCTGTGCTGCATGTGGTCTACATGGCAGAGCTTCAGCTGCCCTCAGCTTTGCATGTTTCCTTAGGTCAGCCAGACAGGCTTGGCACTGTCCAGGAGCATGGTGGATAGCATTTCTTTGGGGTGGCACTGCCCTTGAGCCTGGAGCTGTTCCCTAGAGCACCTGCCTGTTCTGAATTTTTCTGTGCAGCCAGGGTTCCCCTAGTAGTGTTGTCAGCCCCCAGCTGAGGCCTCAGGTGGGTCCTGGGCCCAGGGCTTTCTGAAGGTTTTCTTCCTGCTGTACAATGTGGCCTATGGATGTGGACCTGCCACTCACTTGCTGCTTGCTTTGCCTGACTTTGGCTCAGCCCTAGGCTTGACTTCTGCTTCCCTTCAGGAGCCCACAGGAGGCCTGGCTCTTGGAGCCTGTGGTCTCGAGAAGTGTGAACTATCGTGCGTAGACCATGCAGCGAGCTCTGCTTCTTGGGAAGCAGAGGTGGCTGAGGAGGAAGATGCCAGGTGACTACCATGGGCTGCTGTTTTGCTCACAAAACACAGGCTCTATGTGCGTGATCTTGATTGCTTGTTTAGGGCAGGGTAGGGGAATATGCTCTGACCAGAGGCTCCCACGACCTGCTAGAGCCTCTCCCTCACAGTCTGCTCTACTTGAAGGCCCAGCAGTGATACAACTAGATGGAGACCTAGTACCTTGGGAAGGGTGGTAGTTGAGATGTGTTCTTTGCACATCCCCAGTGACTGCCCGCTTCACTTACCTCTGGGGAGGGCCTGAGCTTGCTCCCAAATCAGAGGTTTGCTTCACATGCCCAGTTGGTGTGAGGGGTGGGGTTTAGCAGGGCTGATTTAAGCAAGCTGCAAGGACTGTCTGTGCTTTGGGGGTACTGGGGGAGTCTCTGTACCTTGGGAACTCCCTGCTGTGGCAGCATTGCAAATGCTCTTCCTCCAGATGAACTATTGAAATCCCTGCAACACTGGAAAGATTATTCTTCCACTGAGATCTTTTTCATGGGACCTCCAGGGACATGGACCTGGGTCAGGCTTCTGTCTTGGGAAGCCTTGGCTACAAAGCTTGTTCATGGGGATGCTGGACTTTCTCTGTGATGCCTGTGCAGGAACCATCTGGCTTCAGTGTTTTCTTGCCAGTGTTGGAAACTTTGTGAATATGTGCTGGTGTAACATGCCTCTTTATATATTTATGCATGTGATGTGTATCATTTCCCATGCATGTAGCCAGCCCTGAACCTGTCTCTGGGGGTAATGAAGGAGGGTCATAATAAACAATTGCTAACTGACTGGCCTCTTTCCTTCCTTAGAAGGTGATCCTGGCCCTGGCCATGTGGGGACTGGCTGCTGGAGTAATTTTTTGGGTTGGCATGTTGGGGGAGGAGGCTGTAGAGCCCAGGACACTGAGTCCTTCTGCCTGCTCTGTGCATCTTACAGGCTGGCTCTGTCCTTGGTGGAGGGTCTCCTGCAAGGTGCAGACCTATCTGCAGGAAGCTAGTGCATGGTGCATTGAGGGGGCACCACTTTCCCTTTTACACAGTTTCTCCCTGCGCAACTGAGTGCCACCTCTTTGCCAGAGTTGGTAGTTGGTGGATGCTCCTCCTGGACAGCAAGGCTTTCTTTATCCATTTCACCCCTGCAGATCCTGCCCTTCTTCATTTCCCTTCCATGAGCAATCTGAGGGGAGTTTTGGCAAAGCGTGAAGACTCAACTGATACCACAGGGATGTGCCTCTTGGCTCCTGTGAGGGCCCAGTTCAGCTCAGGATGGCCTGTGGGCAGATGACCCTACCAGAGGGACTTTGGAGAGGGTAGCAGGGTGTGGCTGGGGTCAGAGGACAGATTTCCAGGTGGGCCAGTGGTTGGTTTTATGCATGCTTTAGTGATGTACTGTTAGCTTGGGTGCCATAGCAAGGCACTTTAGGCTGGCAGTTTATTAGCAGCCAATGTTGATTTTGAGTGGTTTAGGAGGCTGGGAGCCCCAGTGCAGGGAGCCTATGCCATCCATTTCTGGTGAGAGCTGTCTTTTCACTCTGTTTTCAGTGGAAAGGGGCTCCAGAGCCTTTGGTACCCTTTTAATTTTTAATTATTTATTTATTTTGGTACTGAGGATCAAACTCAGGACCTTGCACTTGTGAGGCAGGTGTGATGCCATTGAGCTCAATTCTCATCCCTTTGGTATCCTTTTTGTTTGTTTTGTTTTTGTTTTTTGAGACAGGGTCTCACAATGTAGTTGAGACTGACCTGGAACTCACTATGTAGCCCAGGCTGGACTTGAACCCGCATCCATCCTCCTGTCTCAGCCTCCCAAGTGCTGGGATTACAGGCATGCGCCACCACACCTGGCTCCTTTTGTATCCTTTTAATGAGGGCACTGATCCCTCCATGGGACTGTCACCTCGTAGTCTACTCATCTCCCAAAGATTCACCTCCCAATGCAACCTCCCAGTTCCATCATGGGTCATGGGTTAGTACTTCAGTGTATGAATTTGGGGGAGACAAATAGTCCTTAATAGACACATCGCTATTAAAACAAAAATTCACCATCAAGGGAAAAGTTGGGAGGAACAGGCCCCACTAGGGGAGTTACATGCCTTGGTGCCCAGGTGGTGCTGGTGGAGAGGGCACCCCTGTGCAGCCTGGATTGTAGGCCCTCCTGCCTTGGGCATGCGCCTGGGGCCAGTACCTTGGGGGAGGGGCATTAGAAGAGGCAGCGCCTCCCTGGCCCTCCTGGACAAGCCGCCTTCCTGGGCCCCTCCCTTTCTACACCCTCCCTCGCTCCCTGGTACCCCTGCCTACATCTCTGCCTCTAACCGCTGCTGGGCCTGGTTAAGACCGGCTTCTCCAAGCCTTGATTTCCTTTCCTGTGCAGAGGACTGTAGAGCCTTATTCATGGGTTAGGGGAGGGCCGGGTCTGGAGGATGGAAGACCGGCTGGGACCTCAGAAAAGTCCGGTTCAGGACTGCTTTGGAATCTTCCCACCAGGGGACGCTGTGGCCCCACATCAGGCTCAGCCCAGGTTGCCCCACAAGGGGCTGTGGCTGCTAAAGCAGTGAAATTTGGGTACTGAAGGGGAGCCAGGAGCCAGAGCTTGGGGACTTGGCAGGGTGAGCTTCTCAAAATGGCTCCTCCCTGATGTCAGGAGCTTACAGTTCAGGACACTGCTAAGAAGTAAGTACCTCTGTCTCTGTCTTCTGTTGTTCGGGGCCTGGCTGTGCCGGTCTCAGTGCCCTATGGTACTGCAGGGAGCTGCAGAGGGGATGAGAGGTCATGGATGAGGCTGAAGCCACCTGAAGGAATCAAGGGCCTGTAGTCTTTGGAGGAAACATGGTGGGTACCTGCTTTGCTGTGGAGATGGCCTTCTGGGGCCCAAGGGTAGATAGGGGCGTGGTGGGGGCCCAGCCCAGCCCAGCACCTTAGCCTCCAAGCCTGGCACACTCCCCAGTGTGTCCCTGCCTGCTGTTCTTCTCACCCTTTCTCTGCTCCCTTCTTCACACGCTCTTATGCCATGCACCTGGCTCTGCCACGGGGAGAGCTGCAAGCCCCAACTCTCATCCTGAAGAAGCTGGCATGTACAAGAACAGTCTGTGGACTGATAATTAGGCTGTTTGTGAGGTGTGACTGCACTGCAGGAGGAACAGGCCCTGGGTGCCTTGTTCTTCCTGCAGAATTGTGGGTCTGGGTGATTTCAAAGTACCTACAACCCCCTCTGTGTGGGCTGGGTTCAGCAATGGGGAGGCAGCAAGGTGGGGGAGAAGCCTGGCTGTCTCTGATCCCTGTCCTGGGCCAGCAGCATCACACTGAGAGGAGACTCATGCAGCCCCACAACAGCTCTGTACTGTGACAGCCCCAAGAGTTGGCCTGCTTGGAGATGATGCTCAGTCCCTGTGGCTCCATAAGAGGACCTGTGCCTCGCCAGTGTCCTGACTGAAATCTCAGGGGAGACTGAGCCAGAACCCCAGACAGTCCTCTCCCAGGCTTCTGACTCTCAGCATCTAAAACATTTATTATTTTATAGCTCTTAAGTTTTGGAGAAACCTGTTATACAGCAATAGGCAACTAACACAGTGCTGGGACGAGGAAGATGATGGGCAGAGGCAGCATCTGTGTTGTTTTGGAGTTGACTGGAGGTATGCAGGGAACAGTGGGCAGGGAGCTGGTGCTGTTCTGAATTCAGGCAAAGGCCTACATGCCCAGGAAGCTTGGTGAGGGGGCAGGGGCACACACCCTGAGCGCCTAGGGGTGATGAATACTGGGCCTACATGTCAGGGCCCCAGGTCTGAAATCCACACGATGACTTGCCATCTGGTGAGGCCAGAGAGATGTAGTAGATGTAGAACAGCCGGGAGCCAGGCCTAGGCCCACCAGGTGGCAGTGGTCTCTGAGCAGTCTGTGCCTCTCCACAGTTCTGGTTTCTGCTGGCTGAGTCCAGGTCCCAGGCCCAACCAAGATGGAGGGGGCTTCAGATGCCAGCTCCTTCAAGGGTCAGCTGGCCCTTAGAATATGGAAGCTGAGGGTACTGACACCTACAGCAGGGTATGAAGAGGCCGTGGGTGATGGGGTGGGGTGCAAGGACATGGGTCTCCTGGTGAGCTGTTATTGGTTTCAGGCCGTTGGTGCATTTTGTGGCTTTATTTGATACCATGTCCTCAGCCTTATCAGCAATGCTTGATTTTGCTCTCTGAGGTACCCTTACCTTTGTTTCCTCCCTGTCTTGTCTGAAGGAGGCCAAGGGGTCCTGACTGGAACACAGCACCTGCTCCAGGAAAAGCTTACAGTTTGGGTCACTTCACTTCGAGACCACTGTTGTCAGGAATCCTGGGTTCCAGAGAGGACATGGAAGGGACCATCTTGGGGCCATCTGTCTGTCCATCCTCTTTGTGTGACCAGACTCAGGGTGCCTGCTACCAGGGTCTGAGTCCCTGTAGTTGTCCAGGAAGAAGAGACAAGAACAGGGCCACACTACAGTGGTCCTTCTTGGAGGTGACCCTTTGAAGGGTGTGTGCCTGTGTGGGCAACACAGGGATGTGATATGAACAGGCAGGACATCCCCTGACCTGGAAGCAGTGGCTGGAGGTTCTCAGGCCCCTTGGCACAGAAACACGGTGCGGAAATTCTTGCGGAAGCTGTCATCCAGGAAGGCATACAGGAAGGGGTTGAGACACGAGTTGGCATAGCTGAGGCTGGTGATGGTATAGGAGATGCCAATGACAAGGGATGTCTGGGGCATATCTGTGGTCAGGGCCACCACAGAAGCCAGGTGGAAGGGTGTCCAGCAGAGAAGGCACACAGCCAGCACGGTGAGGACCAGGATGGTCACCTTCCGCTTGGCCTTGCCTAGGGCTTTGGCTCCTGAGTGGAGCCTCATGGCTCTCAGCCGGCGTAAGAGGTCCATGTAGAGCACACAGATAGTGCACACAGGCAGTGCAAAGCCCAGAACCAGTGTGTAGATGCGGCTGGCCTGGAACCAGGCCCGCTCTGGCCGTGGGAAACTCAGCCCACAGGTGGGCACCTGCAGCTCATTACTGTAGACACGAGCAAAGGAGAAGAAGGGCAGAACCATGATAGTGACGCCCAGCCAAACACATAAGCTAGCAACCTTTGCTCCCCTTTGGGTGCGCTGGGGCACACGGCGGGACCTCACAGTGGCCAGCACCACTAGGTAGCGGTCCACACTCATCACAGCCAGGAAGTAGATGCTGGAGAAGATGTTGTAGTGGTCTATGGCCAGCACCAGCTTACAAAGAGGCTCCCCAAAGGGCCAGCGCTGCAGCAGGTGCTCTGCGATGTTGGCTGGCAGCACCAGGATGAAGAGCCCATCAGCCACAGCCAGGTTCAGAACAAACACATTGGTCACCGTCTTCATCTTGGGGGCCCTCAGGATCACATAGATGACAGCCATATTCCCAGTCAGCCCCACAGCGCAGATCACAGAGTACACAGCTGGCAGGAGCACATAGAGTGCTGACAGTGGCTCGGTGGAGGTGGTGTTGGGCTGGGTGTTGTTTTCCTGGGAGAGGTTGGCACTCATAGTGGTGAGGAAGGAGGTGCTTCCATTCTCAGGTGGCTTTGGGCATGCAGCAGCCTGCATTGTGTAGTGTTTGGGGGGTGTCTGGGCAGGGATTTCCTTGGGCTGGATTCTGGGAAGGAAACAACCAGAAGCATTGTGATCTGGCTGCTGGAGGAGTGGCCACCTCAAGTTCTTGGAAGAAGTTTTGGTCACTCTACCAGGCCTAGGACATACAGGGTCACCCTATCCACTTCATTCCTGGGCAAGAGAGTGTACCATGGCAGCCCTGTCCTGTGATGGCTCCAGAAGTTGATATTCTTGGACAGCAGGTGTGTTGGGGCAGATCTGCTCCCTTCTCAAGACCCCTCCTAGGCGGGCGGCCAACCCAACCTCCTGGGAAGCCCATCCTTCTATCCCCAATACACAAAGTCAAGTCGAGGCTGTCTTCCCTTTGCAAATACACCTCCCAAGCGTATCTCTACCTTGCTGAGTCTGAAATACCTACCTGCAGTGTCCTGGAGCCCTCTTCCACCTTAGTGCCCCTGCAACCCCCACCTGCCCAGCTGTTCTTTTCACTGACCTGTCTGGTGCTTTGTGGCTAGAAGTTGATGGCCTTGGTGAGCTCTTAGTGGTGGCAGAATGCAGGCAGATGTGAGGGTGGAGGTGCAGACCCAACTGACAGCTGCCCAACAGGGGTCCAAGCCAGGCTTCCAGGGTCCGCCCTGAAGGTGGGTGCCTCAGCCCCAGCCGGCTTCCAGCAACGCTCCCAGCCCGGTGGCAGTGCTGATGTGTTTGCTCTTCAGAGGGAGGGAGGGAGGGAGGCTGCTCCCACTTGCTGACGTGGAGCCCATCAGGCTCCCCTCACAGCACTGCAGTGCCTGCCATCAGCCCATCCCAGGGTCTCCTTGGCACCCACTCATCCAGTGACTTGCCAGTAGGCAGCTGAGGAGCATGTGCACATCTATGCACATGTGTGTCTACATGCTGCAGGGGTCTGGGCATTTGTGCCTCTGTCCATGGGTTACTGTGGACCTGGGCTCCCTTGTCTGTGCACATGGGTGTCTTGTGGCTGACCCTGTGTGTGTGTGTGTGTGTGCGCGTGGTATGTGCCTGTAAATACACACACATGTGGGCCTGTCTCTGCCTGCCTGGGCGTTTCTGTGGGTGACTCTGCACCATGTCTGAGGGATCTGTGTGTGTCCTTGGCAGGGCATAGGACCTGGGGGACTATACATCTAGATGTAGAAACAGAGCTTGTTGGCCACAGACAACTGACTTCTCTGTCTTTTGCTAAAAGAGGAACACAGACATGTACAAAAGCCAGGCAAGCCATGGGAGGCCATGGAGAAGGGCAGCTTACTCCTATGCTGGCTCCTGTCCCTTCCCTGAGTCCACTGTCCCTGACCAGACAGCCTGCTGAGTGGTACGAGCTATGCTCTGCTCTGGGCTGATCTTCACATCCCTCTCTACTCCCCACCTTTTCCTCCTCTGGCTTCTTTGGCCCCAACTTCTGGACAGCAGGGTTGGCTCTGGCTGTTCTTTGAGGTCAGTGCTGTAGCTAGGATGTGTGGCCAGCACATCTCAGGGCACTTGGTGGTGTGGACGTGCTGGCTGGAGGGCGTTTTCAATCTAGGAGCTTCCCATGGAAGCTGTGCCTATTGCCCTCTGGGTTTGGAGGTTGTCACCCTATACCAGTAGGCTGCTTCCCATCCTGAGTTGCTCGATCAAGCTTCTTGACCACTATGTCCCAAACCTTGGTCAGGGCAGGCGCCTTGTAAGTTGCCCTGAGTGCCCAGAGGCTGTTAAGCCCAAGGCTGTGTTCAGGGACACTGTGTGTGGCTTCCCAGCCTCCCCCTGGACTCTGCCATGAAGTGACTGGGGTGGGGTCTGTGTTTGTGCCCAGAGGAAGTTTCTTACGAGGGGTCTGAGGCCCCACAAAATCAAGGGATGGCAGTCAGCAACCATAAGGAAGGGCTGCGTTGCTTTAAATTTCATAGTTTGGGGTGTTTGTGGGGTGGGGGTGTAGGCACTACATCATTTCACAGCTCCTGGCAACAAGAGATCGGACAGAGAAAGGGTTAGGCCTGTGAACGGCAACCCCATGGGGCTCAGGTATGGCAAGGGTATAGGCTGGGCAACTGACCACAGCCTCAGCACTGGGTACATACACACCGGAGGTGGCGAGGCCCAGGCCACCCAGCTGCTGTCTAAGCGTGGGAATGTGTTCAGAGGGTTCTGTGGGCAGCTGTGAGGACCTCCTCCCTGTGAATCATGCCACATGAAGGTGGACTACTATCTTAGACGGTCTTTAGCGGCAGCATGGGTGGGGGTCTGTACCTCCTACTCCTTGCTTGGCTCTGCAGCCACCATGTGACACCCCAGCTTTCTCCAGAGGATTGCTGCAGGTGAGCCTCCCCTTGATCCCGAGGAGGGGAGCTGCCTATGTCAGAGAGCAGTCCTTAGAGCAAGCGCAGAGCTTCCACTGGGGCTCTGTACCATGATCCTGACTCCCTCTAAAGCAAACCCTGAGTCTGGAGTCCCCTTTTCACTCAGTGTTTGGCCCAGTCCAGGCCCTTCCCAAACCCTATCTCTGCCTGCTGAGCCTGTTCTGGGTTGGTCTGGTTCTACACCAAGCTTGTTTTCTGAAGTGGGGGACCATAGAAGGGGCGGGGATACTGACAAGGGGGGGGGGGGAGGGGGGCGGGG